TTTCCCGGTGCTCTGCAGCTGTGCCGTCTTGGGAGTGTCTTGATTTACACTGCTTTTCCTCGCTCACTGGCAAGGCTTGTTCTAGGGTCAGAAAGACATCCACATGAGGGTCTGAAACAGAGCCTGGCACATCAATGCTTCATTGTGTTACCCCATTGAGCTAGCATGGAACGGTGCCTTTAAATCCGGCTCAGCCCACCATGCCTTAACTCAGGAGGAGCCCGGCAACCCCACTAAACCCACATATGCCGGAGTGCAAACGCCATGGCCTCCGTGCTAGCGCGTGGCATGCTGCTCTCTGATTTTAGCTCCTGCAGATTGCCCTTGAGATCCTGGATTTTTGGCGAGTAAAGCAACAACAACAGAAAGTCAGATTCCGGATGGAACTTTTACCGGCGCAACATCTGGCTCCCCGGGGCGGGCGTGCACTGTCCCTCTGCGCTCCTGGCAGTGGACATGATGTTTTGTTTGGATACAGCATCTCCACGCCTTTCCAAAGTCAGGTCAATCCCGGCCAAATCACATTGTTGGCCTGGCCATGCTGTTCTTGATTCCACCTGGTTATCACAGGCGCCCGCTGGAAGGGACGAGGACCCGGGAAAATTGTCCAGCTCACCCCGCAATACCCACAGGCATCAATTTGGCACCACCCTCTGCATGTCCACTCTTTTTTTTTTTTGACAGGCAGAGTGGACAGTGAGAGAGAAAGACAGAAAGAAAGGTCTTCCTTTACTGTTGGTTCACCCTCCAGTGGCCGCTGCGGCCAGCGCGCTGCGCTGATCTGAAGCCAGGAGCCAGCTGCTTCCTCCTGGTCTTCAATGCAGGTGCAGGGCCCAAGCACCTGGGCCATCCTCCACTGCACTCCTTGGCCACAGCAGAGAGCTGGACTGAAAGAGGGGCAACCAGGACAGAATCCGGCGCCCCAACCGGGACTAGAACCCGGTGTGCCGGTGCTGCAGGCAGAGGATTAACCTAGTGAGCCGCGGCGGCAGCCATGTCCACTCTTCATCTATGGCCTCCCTGCTCCAACAGCCGGCGACACCCTGGCGTTCACGGTTCAGCCGTCTGCTGCAGATCCACCCTTTGACTTTTCTAGCGCCTGGGCGAGAAAAGATTCTGCACACAGAACTGCTGCAGAAAACCCACGGAGTCACCTCCCGCACTCTGCTCAGACTCAGATGCAGAAGCCAGGGCTCCCCTCACACAGGACACTGACCAGGCTGTTCAGCACCTGTGACTGGAACCCGTCAGCGACGCTTACGCAACAACAATGATAACAGCAACAGAATAGTCCATAAGGCTCTGAATGAATACCAACGGGGATATTGCATTTATCCACTCTCTTCTTTACAAAACTGAGGCTCAGAGACAACAGGTGCACCCCAGCGCCACCCAGTTAGAGGCGGCAGAGGAGCCCCAAGCCCACCACCTCCTTTCGGGGGAGTTGACTCACCAAGGCCCCGAGCCTCGCGTCTCTTTGGGAACTTGGCCCAGGGTTCAGTTTACTGAACAAGCAAAACGGGGATTTTGCAAAGCCGGAGGAAGGGGGGCTCTGCTCTGTACTTTGCAGGTGGAGAGAAAGGCTGACTCCTGTTGGCAAGAACCCGGAGAGAAAGAAGCCCATAGGTATCGGGGCTCTGCTTACAAACAGCTCTGCCGCCATAAAGCCACCACCCCGAAACAAAACCAACACAGGAGCGATCGGTGGGGCAGTGGGTGTGCTAATTAGCTTGACTGAATCGTGCCAATTGGGAGCTACCTCGCTGAAAACACCACGTTGTACCCCATGACCACACACAATTAGATTTGTCAAATTTTTTTTTTATAAAAAGCACTAACAAAAATAATCAAATGAGGTGAGCACGCTACACCCCCCCCCCCCCCCAGGAGGAGCCGGTGGTCTCTGGGCTTGCAGAGCCAGAAAGAGCCTGTGCCTTGCAGCCTGGGTGTGACTGCTCCAAGCCAGCGAGCCCCTCCGGGCTTCACAGTCCCTTCCTGGATGAAGTCCGGGTCCTACCACTCACTGCTGCAAGACTGAACGCCCTGGTCTCTCCTCCCCATTCCCCGCCCCCGCCGGTCTTCCCAGAACCCTGAAGACGCCATCTGCACACGAGTGCGTGTGCCTTCCCTTCTGGTCCTGGCCCCGGGGCCTCCTCTGCCATCCGTCCCCTGCCTGTCGACGCCGTCCCATTCCTGCTCAGTGGCTCTTTCAGGAGAAGGAAGGGCCCCTTCCTGCCCTCCAACCTTCTGATCCCGTGGCCTGGGCCAGGGGTGGGCACTTATGCAGATGAGAGCATCCCCTGGGAGTTGAGACTTCGGATGAGAAGCTGCCAGTCTCAGCGGTTGCTGACGTGATGCTGGCAGATAGGAGGGGAGGGACCAAAGGGAAGAAGAAACCGGCCAGGGAGCATCTCTGGGGTCAACTGCCCCTCCCTTTCTCATTTGCCAGAACATTCCAAGCTTCACAGTCCTTCCTCTTCGCTGAAGTCCCTGCATAATCTAGTTCAAATTCTGTTGCCTTTAATATGCAATTAAAGGGATCATAAACACATTTTATGCAATCCTGGAAGGTGGGTGTGGAAGCCAGAGCCCAGGCTGCCCTCCTCTGTGCGTGGGAAGCCTGCCCCTCCCCACAGGGTGCCAGGCCACGCTGTCAGATGCATTCCTGGTCCCGCAGGCTGCCTTGCCACAGTCCCTGACTTCTCGCACCTGCTGCCCGTGCTAACGGTGTTGCCTGGACAGCCGGCTCCCGGCCCAGTCCGTCTTGCTGTGGTTGGTCCATTCATGCTTCGCATGTGTAGAGGAGGCCCTGCGATGGCTCATCCTGGGTCCAGGAGCTTCTTAGGGCAGGGATGGTCTTCCCTACTTTCACCTCCCTGGGCTCTGTCAAGTAAATATATTTGGGTGAAAGAAGACAAACCTGGCAGATGACGGATGGGGATTCATGGAGGGGAAACGAAGTCTCGTCCGCCGACGCTAACGGCCGATCTCTGGGATCTGGGGTCCCTCCTCTTGCGCACCCCAGTGTTGACAGCTGCTTCCGCCTAACCTTTCAATAATTCCTCCCACCCCCCACCCCCGGCAGTGTCAGAACGGACAAGACTTTACCTCAACTCCAAATTTCTATTATCCCACATGGAAACTCACATAGGCAATTTTATTCTCTGCACTGCAACATGTGGGAGGAGTATCACAAAATAAGAACAGATTTAGAAACAGCCAAATTTAATGTAAGGTTCCTGCACTGGAAAACAAGGATGCGTGCCACGGAGTGTCCACTGGGCACCCCTGGCCATGCCAGTGGTCGTCGGGAAAGGCATTCTGTCATCTCCCTGAGGAAGTTCACGAGCATCCAAAGGCACTGGGTGACACGCAGCGGTCCCTGCTCCATGGAAGCCAGCGGCCTCCTCCGGCTTCAGTTCTCACTCCTCGAGGTCTTTGCCTTGTGCTGATCCTTGACGGCAGGGGTGCCCCAGGTCACAGGAGAAGGATACAGCACAGCTGGGTGACATCTTGTAGAGAAAGGTCCTTCCGTCTGCTCCCAAGGTGACACCCAGGCACAGCTCTGCTCATCTCAAGTGCAAGCGACGCCTCACCTCTGTGCTAACGTGGCCCTCGACACCAAATTTCAAGGGGAGGAAAAGGACAAGGTGAATGCGGACGGGGATGACATGACAAACGACACACGGCTGACTCCTGGTGCAAGGGAAGCCCTGGAGGGAAGCCTGAGATAGGAATCTATATAGTCTGGCATCAGTGAGAACACACATCATTTTGTAACTAATTGGGGAAGTTGAGAAGGAACATTAACTATTGATTCCAATTAGCTTTGGGGGCTGACTTAATTGTTTCCTTACTAGAAAATTCCTCAGCTAATGGCTGGCAGTGGGGCAGAGAACTGTGCTGCGACAAGCATGTGGATTTGTTTTCTGATTTTGCAACTGTTTTGTTTTTTTTTCCTGGTTGCCAGTTCACCCAAAGTCATTTCTCCATGAAGTACAAAAGCTGCAAAGATCTCAGGCTGTGTTGCAGCCATAACTGCAGCCAAAGCCAACATGTTCAACGTCATTTAGAATTTAAACTAGTGTCTGCGAATATTAACTGATAGAATAAAAAAGGGAGAGAACGGTCCAACATGGGCAGCGGGATACACAGCAGACTCATAGAATGGCAGATGTCCTAAATAGCACTCTGGCCTCAGAATCAGCCCTTAAGGCATTCGGATCTGGCTGAAGAGCCCATGAGAGTATTTTAGGCATGGAAAGCCAAGACACTCTGGCACACACACACACACACACAAAAAGACGACCTAATGAAAAATCTCTACAAGTGAGATCCCAGAGGAAAGAACGTGCCATCAAAGAAGGAGGTACCTTTCTCTGAAGGGAGGAGAGAACTTCCACTTTGACTATGACCTTGTCTAAATAAGATCGAAGTCAGCGAACTCAAGAGCTTCTATCGCCTTGGAAACTCATGACTAGAGCCTCGGGAGATTACTGATGCCATAAACAAGAGTGTCAAATTGTTAAGTCACAACAGGAGTCACTGTTTACTTACTTCTCATGTGGGGTCTCTGTCCTTAATGTGTTGTCCAATGTGAATTAATGCTATAACTAGTATTCAAATAGTATTTTACACTTTTTTTTCTGTGTGGGTGCAAACTGATGAAATCTTTACTTAATATATACTAAATAGATCTTCTGTATATAAAGATAATTGAAAATGAATCTTGATGTGAATGGAATGGGAGAGGGAGCGGAAGATGGGAGGGGTGCAAGTGGGAGGGAAGTTAAGGGGGGAAAAGGCCATTGTAATCCATAAACTGGACTTTGGAAAATTATATTTACTAAATAAAAGTTTAAAAAAAAGAAAAAAATTTACTGGGTTTTGTATTAAAATTTACCACGTGAAGACTACTACGTGAAGGTCTAATGAAAAGCCCTTGATGACTTTTGAGCTTGGAGAAAGGCTATCCCGGGAGCTCTCTGGGACTCGTGTCCTTTGCCAGTTCCCTGGGTTCTGAGCAGAGGTTCATTCTCCCCTCTGCAGCCCCACAGTTTCACTCACCCAGTTGTCCAGCATCCCTCTCACTGGGCCATTTCCAAAGGGCTTTATTGACGGTTTCCAGATGCACCCATTTCTTGTCTCCCTTTTGCCAGGTGAAGACTGTTCCAGTTCTCTGTTGTCAAAATCATAAAAGACACAAGAGATGGAAAATAATCAGGTATCAGCACTTGATGTTTGCAAGTACCTGGCTTTTTTGAAGGAGAAGTGGGTTTTCTTAGCACTTCTGAGGTTGACGTTTTGTTGACGGGACCCAGGCCCTGGAGTGGGAGCACCCACTTCCTGTGACTGAGTCGGAGGAAAAACTTGAGAAGTTCTTCCCACCAGGGAAAACCTTTCACAACCCTGAATGGAGAACCAAGAGTCGGGGAGAGAGGGAGCAGGGTTTGGTTCTGCACCAAGTGGGCTGGCATCCCCGTTAGAAGTCAAGGCTGTGTTCTCTGTGCACGGTGGAGACAGGGATGGCAGATGGTCCATGGAAATGGGCCCATGGCTGAGGCTGAGGGAGTTCCTTGGGCTGGTGGGCCTCGGCGGCAACAGGGACTGTCCTATAGGAAACAGCCTTCCGGAGAAGCCGGGTCCCCAGGGGAGAGAGACGTGGAGGGGCTAAGCATCAGTGGACTGGGAGGGAACCCAGGTTTGCAGGTCCCACGGCGACGCTGGCTGTGGGCCAGCAGTGCCCACACAGTGCCCCCACTGTATGTCACAAGTAGAACCGGTAGGGAGGTCAGGAGCCAGAAATGAAGACAGGATGGACCACACCAGCTCTCTTTCATGAGGCCCAGGAGCTGGGATCACCCTCGGGGAAGGGGCAGAAAAACAAGACGCTAGAAAACAGAGAACTCCTTAAAAGTGACCACATGTAGACCTGGGCAGAGGCTGAATTCACCGCGCAGTCTGGTTGAAGAACCAAGCCCTCAGGCAGAATAAACCAGAGCAGGCCAGGTCAAGTTGTGCGGCTCCAGAGTAGGTTCCTGGAGCGGTGCCTGGGGCGGGTGCAGGCAGGTGCAGGCAGCCTTCCCGGGAAGGCAGTGGAGCCCACCCTGGAGGCCCCTGAGGCATTCGGAGCGCCTCACTCAGGGGTAGTTCTCTCCAAGAGAACCTCACAAAATCTGCTCAGGCTTTGAGCTCAGCTGCAGGTCCCAAAGAGCTTAACAGCCTGAGTCTCCCTTCCTCGCTGTGACGCTTTGTGGAGAATTGCAGGTCTCCCACGCCCTGAGCTTCACCAAGTCAGAAACTTTGGGTTGTCTGTAGTTCCCCTGCACTTAGCGCAAGGCACGGCTCTTGATACATAGAAGATTCTCGAGTGAGTTTTAAGAGAGAAAGCCATTCAGGAACAGAGCAGTCAGCAGTGGCTTCTGGGAAGAAGGACGCTGAAATCAGCTTTGACCCTGGCATTTACATGCCCGAGAAGTAGCGCCAGTCACATGAGGTGGGCAGACAGGCAAATTCAATGAGGGACATGAATGGAAGGTTCTGGAAGGCATGGCAGCGCCTTCTACTTCATAAGGTGCTACATGAATGTCTCCCGGTCACAGGGTGTGCTCTTAGTGATGGGTGCTATCCCAGAACTTCATGTGGTCGGAAAGGAGACTTATCTATGACATCTGTGATCTTCAGTACCCACTAATGCAAGCAATTAAGATCCCACGAGAGAGAAACCTGAACATTGCTCCAGAGGGCTCTGCATGGGCCACTCGGATTTCAAGCTTATTCAGTTTTTCTTGTGGAGGCAAAACTGAAAGGACAAATGAAGAACTACCCAGATTTTTTTTTTTTTTTTTCAAAAACAGACTTTGTTGTATCAAGAAAAAGCTGCGATGTGTCCGCAGCCCCTCTCCAGGTGACAGGCTTGTGTTTGCTTTGAGGTGATACAGGCACCGACACTTGGAAGGCTAGTGTACCTCGGTGGAGGGTGGAGGTGAAGCCGTCCACGCCGCTGGGGTGTGCAGGGAGGAGTCAGCATGCGCTGAGGGTGCCCTGGGGTCTGCATGCCCCGCCCCGGCTCAGCAAGGTGCAGCCCGGCCACCAAGAGCTCTGGGGGCTCCCGAGGAGCAACCCAGCGGACCCCTCCCCAGGTGGGCCTCACCCGCCCACGGGAGCGCAGAGCAGAGGAGGGGCTGTGTGCAGGACCAGGCCCTGGGAGGCCGGGAGCTGGACCTCCTCACAGCGGCTCGCACTTCCCTGGCCGACAGCTGAGCTCGGCGCACAGCCTGGCAGGAGCCCGGCACTGCACGCCCCGGGGACCGCAGCCCCCGGAATGTTCCCAGCGGCGCGCGTGGAGCCCAGCCTGTGTGATGTGTGTGTGCCTCGGCCCGTGCGCCACAGCCGAGATTCCTATCGGAGCTCTGCGCGGAGGGACTCGGGGCGATCATTTTTCACTCTAGATGGAAAAACAGATACTTTTCCCTGAGCCTGGTATTGCTAAAGGCTTCACGTGCCGCGGAGAGGAAAAAAGGGAAAAAAGCAAGCAAGCAAGCCCGGAGGACTCCTAGATAAACCAAAAATAAGTATGACCCTGCCTGGTTTTGCTCCTCACAAAGTAAACTCGTGGGTATCTCTCATTAAGTCAAACCTCGCCGTTCCCCTGTAAACAGATTCATACTTACTTTGATAATCTTGGGGGGTTAATTTTTGTCCCTTTAATCTCCTTTTTTTTGGTGATGGAAGATTTCAGCCTCAGCAAGGTCTTACTTTCTTGCAAACAGATTCCATTAACCTCCGGTCTCTGTATCCTCTTTTTTCCGGGATTCCTGAATATTCCCGGGAGACCAAGTCCAGCTGAGGCCAGGCAGCAATAACTCATCCTCTGTTTTATCAAAGTATATGTGAATGCATGAGATCTATAAAGGTGAGCCAGTCAGGCACTCTCACCGCTAAGGAATAGGTCGACAAGCAATGTCAGCTGCAAAGTCTCCCAGTGGAACTGCCTGATGCCGGCTGGATGCTAATGAAATTTGCTCAGGTGGTAAAGAATACCAGGACCTGGCAGGCCCAGAACCTTAGCACCCATGGGTGACATCCTGAATTCACAGGAGTGGAAGGTGCAACGTAGAGATGCCAGTGAATTGGTTCCTTGCTTACAATCTCAATACAATCGACAAGGCTGGTAACATCCTTCTGGCATCCAAAAAAGTAAATTACAAGCCTATGGTCTTCTTAAATTACGTGATAAAAATCAACATTTTAATTTAACATATATGTTCCTAGTTTCGTATTGATTACTAATGAATGTTTCTGTTTTACTTTGTATTAGTGAGTGTTGTGTTAAGTGCAACAAAATACCAGAGGCAGCTAATTCACAAAGAGGAAGGGGATTGGGTGGTCCTGTCGGCCTCAGGCCCATCAAGGCAGGGCCAAGTCTCCCATCAAGGCAGAGTGCCTGTGTGTGGCAAGCTTGCCCACCCCACAGGCACTGGGGTCACTTCCTCCACAGGGCAGACCCCTGGTGACCTAGGTTCCTCACACTGGGCCCCAACTTGTAAGGGACCACAAGGCATCCCGACAGTGCCACCCTGGAGACTAAGTTCCCAGCACAGGAGCCTGTCCAGGGACCCTAGACACGGAGCACAGCCAGATCAAACACAGTGTTAAAAATCACAATATCAAGCCAATGATCAAGCCAGTAACTAGCTTACAGCTAACAAGACCAAGTCCACATCTCGAGGACGGGAAATTGACCACAGATGGAAGAAATGAGCAAACGTGAGACTTACGCCCCTCCCAATGCACGGAGAAGTTCCTAAACAACAGGAGACAGAAATCAAAAGTGAATTGTACCTGAGATCAACCAAACACAGCAGGGTCGTCCTGACCCGGTTTGAACCCCAAATAATAAAACCTTCAGCATTTCCCATAAATCAGAGCTCCCTCACAAAAGCATTTTTATTCCTAATGTCTCCTGATGCCTGAAGCCAGTTCACGCTACTTGTGAACGTAACCATAGTGTGAGAAGTGCTGGTGCTGGCCTTGAACACCCCAACATCACTTGAGAACATTAGATTTTCACTGTGCACTCCTTTAATTTCTGATTGTGCTTTGATTTCCTAAGCCAGTCTTCCTGAAGCCTGACTCCCTTATGCCCCTTTGTCTTAGAAACATTTTTGTCTCTGAGTCCGCCTTTCACAGTCTCCAATTAGAAGCTCAAGTAACTCTTGAGTGAATGTTTAATTGGAACCCCAGCAATTATTCTCTACCTAAAAACAGTTACCACAAACAATCTCAGACAGATGGCACTATGAAAGCCTTTATTTTTCTCATTAGAAACATAATGCATGTGCATATTTAAATTAGAGAACACAAAATTACATTTAAAAAGCAACAGCTAGATGCCAGCAACCATTAAAACTCAATGCTGTGTCGACCTGTGTATGTGCATTTAGTGTCTGTACCTGTGCGCATTCATGTTATATTCAAGCTTACGCTGTAATAGATTAGGCCATCCAAGACGCTCATGTATCTTCATTCTCTACCTAAATTCCTAGAAAGAATCAGAGATGGCATCCACAGAACTAAAGCGTTTGCCGCGGTGTCATGTTGAGTGGCGTAATGGTTGTCCACTTCATGTAACCCATGAAATCCTACGTTTCCTCTGTTTTTTGCCATCATGGGTATCAAAAATTTCTTTCTCCATTATATGGAATGTGTCTAAATAAATTAGTTATGCCATAAGCTTTTTAATGTTAGTATTTGACAACTTTGGGGGAAAAAGACATAATTGAAGTTTGGTATTATTTGCATGCTGATTATAAAATTCATTATAAATATCTTATATTGATCGGCAATGTGAGAGCTTAAAAATGGTGACTGGGGGGCAGAGCTGTGGTTCAGCAAGTTAAGCCACCGTCCATAGCGCTAGCATCCCGCGTGGACAGTGGTTTGAGTCCCGGCTGCTCCACTTCCAATCTAGCTCCCTGCTAATGTGCCTGAGACAGCAATAGAGAATGGATGAAGTGCTTGGGCCCCTGCACCCACGAAGAGACCTGGAAGAAGCTCCTGGGTTCTGGCTTTAGCTCAACCTAGCCCCAGCCACTGCGGTCACTTGGGGAGTGGATGGAAGACCTCTGTGTGTGTGTGTGTGTGTGTGTGTATCCTCTCTCTCTAATTCTGATTTCCAAATTAAAAAAAGATAGGTTAATAGTCTGGAGTTTATCATTTTAAATATATTAATAGAAATCCCAACATCTCTACCCAAATACTTACAGCTCTTACTAACTACACTAAGTCACCATAACTGTCACTTAAGACACAATTATCTCTGGAAATAAAAGTTTCAATCAAACACACACGTGTGAATTTGCAGGTTGCTCCTTTCTTCTGAGTCCAGTTCTGACCGACACTAGGACATACACATATACCACGTATATAAATACGTAAATCACAGTCATCGTAGATACCAAGTCAACCTGAATTTCGATTCCCTCGGGATGCAGCTTTGTAGCTGGAATCTAGAGTTGTGCTAAAGGTCGCACTTAATAAATACGAAAGCAATTTCCTGGTTGCCTCTCTTGTGCTACCAACCTGCTGCTAACGGGCACGCTGATGTTTCAGTGGGGCCTTGTCCCTGCCCACCCACCCACACCCATGTGCACCAGCGCCTCTAAGATGAACCAGATGTGGAGTACACGGCGGGGATCAGAGACCGCACGCGCTGCAGGCTTGCCTCGTGGAGGGCCAGGGCCTGGACGTGGCCAATTTCCTCACAGCACCTTGCAAAATACTAAGTGCTTTGGAAATAGTTGGTCATCTTGCCCTGTGACACAGTTGTTCACACTTTCCATGAAATATTACTTTAATTAAATAAAATGGCACCGTGACAGCAGAGGTCCATGTGGTACAGGGTCATTCTGAATGTGCCGGGCACTCACGTGGCTCATGCCTTGGAGAGCTGTGCTCCGAGCCTGCAGCCAAGTGTGGGGGTGAGGAGGAGGCGGCATCCCTGTTACCCACTGGTGCTGGGGTGTGTGCCAAGGCCCCTAAGTGTTTTCTTTCTTTTTACATAAAAAGATTTATTTATTTGAAAGTCAGAGTTACAGAGAGGCAGACATAGAGGCAGAGAGAGAGAAAGGTCTCCCATCTGCTGCTTCACGCCCCAAATGGCTAACCGGCCAGAGCTGTGCTGATCCGACACCAGGAACCAGGAGTATCATCCAGATCTCCCATGTGGGTGCAGGGGCCCAAGGACCTGGGTCATCGTTCATTGTTTTCCCGGGGCATAGCAGAGAGCTGGATCAGAAGTGGAGCAGCCGGCCGGCGCTGCAGCTCACTAAGCTAATCCACCGCCTGCAGCGCCAGCACTCCAGGTTCTAGTCCTGGTTGGGGTGCAGGTTCTGTCCTGGTTGTTCCTCTTCCAGTCCAGCTCTCTGCTGTGACCCGGGAAGGCAGTGGAGGATGGCCCAAGTGCTTGGGCCTCTGCACCCGCATGGGAGACCAGGAGGAAGCACCTGGCTCCTGGCTTCGTATCGGCGCAGCGCGCCAGCCGTAGCAGCCATTTGGGGGGTGAACCAATGGAAAAGGAAGACCTGTTTCTCTCTCTCTCACCGTCTAACTCTGTCAAAAAAAAAAAAAAGTGGAGCAGCCGGGACATGAACTGGTGCCCATATAGGATGCCAACACTGCAGGCGGTAACTTTCTGCTCTACGCCAAGTATTTTCTTAAAATCGCAAATTAAGTCAGACGTTGAACTGTGAGAACCCAGATAGGAACTGAGAGGTAAAGTTCTCACTTGACTTAAAGATAATGCCTCATGCAGATTAATGAACAGAAAAACAAAACGAAAACCTGGTAACTCAGAAGCAAAGTGGCTGCAACATGAATGAAACAGGTGGCATTCCTATCCAAGAAAACAATGCTCCTTAGTAATAGCATTTTTGAAGACCTTTACTTGAATTCTTGCTTTAAAAAAATCACTTTCCTTTTTTCTCCTTGTTATCACAGCACAGCAGATTCTTGGTTAGATCATTTCTTCTAATTTTGGCGGAATTTCTTGCCTTCTGCAGGAAAGCAGTAAATGTTGCTTTTTGCTTTTATTTTGTTGTGTGTTTATTTTCCCTAGCTTGATTGAGATATGATTGACAAATTAAAAACTGTAAATATTTAAGGTTTCAATGTAGTGTTTTGACATAAGTATACCTTGTGAAATGGTTCACACTCTAAAGCTAATTAAAATACCATCTGATACCATCCGACACAGTTAGGTGTCTGTGTGTGCACATGTGTGTGTACGTGTGAATGTGTGTGTGTGTGTGAGAGAGAGAGAGAGAGAGAGAGAGAGAGAGAATGAGGACACTTCAGATCTGTTTCCTTAGCAAATTTGAAGTGTATGCAGCATTATATGAATGAGATGAGCCACACACCAAAAAATACTGAATGAAACCATTTATATGGGGAGTTTGAAAATGTTGGACTCAGAGAAACAGCAGAAGAGTGGCTTCCAGGGGCTGGAGGATGGGGAGATGTCCATCAAAAGTAGAGACCTGCAGGTGTAAGATGCGTGAATTCCAGAGATGCAGTGTGTAGCTTAGTAGCTACAGTAAGAGTGAATTACATCCTTCTTGTTTTTTTTTTAAGATTTATTTATTTGAAGGGCAAAGTTACAGAGAGGCAGAGGCAGAGACAGAGAGAGAGAGACAGATCTCCCATCTACTGGTTCACTCCCCAAAATGGCCATGACGGTTGGAGCTGGGCTGATCTGAAGCCAGGAACCAGGAGCTTCTTCCAGGTCTCCCACATGAGTGCAGGGGCCCAAGGACTTTGGCCATCTTCTACTGCTTTCCCAGGCCATAGCAGAGAGCTGGATAGGAGGTGGAG